GGATTACAGACAAACAGCAACAGGAACCAGAGAGTATGAGTCGTGATTGGGGTGCTGGGTATGCTACAGAAGAACTTAACATAATCACCTCTCAGACAAGTGGGTGGGAGAGGGCTTCCAGAAGGTACAAATTGAGACTCAAAGGATGAAATATTCAAGATGAGATTCAAAGGGTAGATTATGGGCTTTATTTTCTGTTATTCTTGCAATAAATTACATATATAATTAAAAACAAAAAAACCTGTAAGTTTACAGTGTTTTCTGAACCTGGAGTTACACCTGGATTCTCTATTAAGACAGGTAAGGAAGCCAATTCTCAGGGACACAGGTGGTGTGTGCTAACATCACAGGGCAGAGGAAATCCTTCACCCTCCCAGGGCGAGTAGTGCTCTATTCAGTCTCTATTTGATAGATGTGAAAATAGATACCATGATACACGTTTTTCTGGAGCAGAGGCAGGAAGAAAGCTGAGTGTTGAAGCCCTCCCCACCAACTATTCAGCTAAAGTAGTGCCAAAAAATCACATTACTGTTCTTAACATTCTTAAAAAAGACAAATCAGTGCAGTTTAAAATGGTACCCAATTTCTCCAAAAGGAAATTGCTCACTTACAACAAGCACCCAAGACCTACCTGTTGATCTTCCTTCCTTCCTTAATAAATTCTTTATAATAATTAAAAGCTGATGTTTGCAGAATACTTTACAGTCTAATTAAACAGAAAATTGACCGCTTTGGTTGTTTAACACAAGTCTCAAGTTAAAGAACCATCCCATGCTTACAAAATCCACATCTTGCCTTGCTTCTAGATGCATTCAGCCCAGTTAGCAGCGATGGAGTAATTCCGACTATTGTAGGTAAGATGTGAGCAGTTATGAGCAGGATTCTGAAATTCTAGATGTCTCTAAGTAAGCAACAACCACCTAGATGAACTCAATTGGCATTTAAACCCTGGTTCTGCCACTTGTGTGACTTGGAGTCAGCTATTTTTCTTTACAATTCTGTTTCTTCATCTGTAAAGTGGAGATAAGAATTAACATGTGTGAAGTGATTACCAGCCTGGCTGGCACTTAAGCAAATGGTTAAGTGTTGTTCTAATTTATATCAAGGTAGAAGCTGGGGCTGGGGACTGATAAGATATGGGGGGAGAAAGAAGAGCTAAGCAAATAAGATCTAGAATTTCGAGTCAGGTTAATTGGAGTGATGGGGAGGCCACTCCCTGTTACACATTATTAGGAGCAGATCTGGGGAAAATCGAGGCCAATTTTCCATTTGGAGCACAATGAGTATAAAATGTCAATAGGTCATGAAGACAGAAGAGACTGGAAGCATTGATAAAAGCTGATTTAGAATTGCCATTATTATTTACACATGGGGACCAAATGAGGAAAGATAAATTGAATTTAAAAAGGTCTAAAACTAAAATAAGTTAAAAAAAAAAAAAGATACCATGGAAGTAAAATAGAATTAAAATGACATTCCTTTAAATAAAATGAATATGGGGTGTAAAGTGACATCACACAAAGGTCATGGAACCATATCTGAGGCGTGTCCCCACCACACAGGACATAGGGTACTTTGTACTGTTGCTGGTCATTCAGAGAACCAGACACATTGTTCCCTGGTTTTCTGACACCAGGGATCCCTCATGTGGAGAGATCACAGGTAGAAGGAGCCTCAGAGACTGTTTAAAAGGCCAGGACTAGATGCCCGAATCTAGCACCCCAGGAATCTAAGACCTGTCACTGCATATGATTTTTCAAGATGTGTGCTTTCAGTAGGAGCTAAGATGCCACTGTACTGACATGTTACTAGCAGGCAGAAATGACGACACATTCAGTGCTAGCCTTTCTAGAGAGAAATTTGGCTCAAAAACTCTATGCTGGCCAATTAGGCCCCATCTGCCCAGGCTCATAGCTCCTTTCCAAATTCACACTGCTCTATTACAACATCCACCTGGACATCTTGATATGGCCATTTATTTACTGATTTCAAGAAATTCCCATTTTAGTAACTTTATTTGGTAAGTGAAAACTGTGTGCAGTGATTTTTTTTTTTTTAAATGTTCATAAAGTTTTTCTAGACTCATTAGTTTTCCCCTATCACCAAAACTTGGTTTACACAGCAGGGCTTTTTTTTCCTTGAATGTAGACTATTTCAAATACAATACATCCTTCTACAGAGAAAACAACTTTAAGGTTAAAATCTGTAAATGATGGTCTATTGAGGTTATTATTCAGGAGAATTGTTATTAATGAACTGAGGGTGGAGATGAAAGACAACTGAAATGAGATATAGTTGGGTTTGCAGTCCAACCAAATGTTTAGGCCTAAAACACAGTGAAAAGGTATTGGGAGGTTAAGAAGGGAAGGGGGAAGTTTCTGCATTTTTGGAGATACATAGATAAGGAGGAGCAGGAACAGGACATCAGACTCAGGAGAGACTCTACAATAATGTTGACATAGGGAAAGTGTGGGGAAAAGGTCTATTACTCTTTACAAATGTGCTCAACAGAACTTGATTTTTGGGGGTGGACAAATCACAATTCAATGCCTATTCTCTGTCCCAGCAACAGATTTAAGACCCTGTCTTACATGAGCTGGATCTATTTACATACCTTGTAGTGCTCAGCTGAATGCACCTGACTTTAAATGATAAAAACAAAACAAAACAAAACAAACAAAACTGGGAGCTCTCCTCAGTAAGGGGACCAAGAACTATGAAGTCATAGGGAACAACTGAGGTTATAGACTGCTTGTGCTTTCTTTGCAGACAACAAACTAGCAGAAAAGGATTAGGTGTTATAGTGGGGTTTAAAATATACTGAAAAGAGGACTGGGAAAAAAACTTTGCACTCCATACAATAGACAAGGGACTGATCACAAAGATACACAAAGAGCTTACTTGAATCAACAAAAACAAAACAAAACAAACAACCCGGCTGCAGAAGAACTTAAAAGACATTTATCCGAAAAGGAAATGCAAATGGCCAACAAACATATGAAAATGTTCAACATCTCTCAATCAGGGAAATGCAAATCAAAACCACAATGAGATATCACCTCACAAACCTGTGAGAATGGCACATATCAAAAAAACTAACAACCACAAATGTTGCCGAGGATGCAGTGAAAAATGAACTCTCCTACACTGGTGGTGGGAATGGAAACTGGTACATTAATCCTGGAAAGCTGTATGGAGACTCCTCAGAATACTAAAAATGGAGTTACTATACAACCCAGCAACCATTCCTAGGGAGCTATCATTAATTAAAAAAACTTGTTGTAAAATGAGCAATAAGGTAAATAGAAAAATATATGTAAAAATAAAATACACTGAAAAGAGAGGTGTATAGCTGTGTACTGGCAATGAGACAAAGACAGTGAATTCAACATGTGATCTGCCCTGCAGTCATTTTTATCCACACATCACAAGCTCCTCAAAGTGGCGCCAAGACAGTAATTCCTTTGCAGAGATAAATATGGAGGCAGCTTTGCAGCTGAGCCCTGGCCAGTCTATCAATCAGGACAAAACCAGTGTTGTCCTAGGGGGTTCAGAGAATGAAGTGACATTCCTATGCCTATGCTACTTGAGTGTCACATGAACAAGACTCTCTCCAAGGCCCTTACATGATCTATCAGAAATCAGGACTCAGCTCCATGATCCCTCCATGCCATGATTAGTAGGTGAAGAGCTATGAAATCACGGACAGAAACATGCAAATAATTGACTTCCTACATGCCTTCCAGAGGGATTCACAAAACCATCTGATAATGTGTTTAACATAGTGTGAATCTTATAGGCATAAAGCTCCAAAGAACAGAATTTCTTAGGTTGGCTTTACAAGGAATATTAATAAGATATGCCAATAAATAAATAAATAAATAACTGGAGCTGTTTCTCCCCACCTTTTTTAATCTTACTTCCTCTTGGAATTTAGTAAAATCTGAACTGCTTATTAAAAGTGTACTATGGGCCCTCCCTGGTGGTGCAACGGGTTAAAGCACAGCACTGAGAATCTGAAGCCGCTTCTGCATGAGTTTGATTCCCGCCTGCCCCGGAGATGACCACATGGTATGGCAGACCTCTCCTGACCCACCTGCTGCTCCCCTCAGCAGTGTACTTCGTTGATCTGCCTGTTCTGTTCCCCACTCTGTCTCTGGTGAAGCCTCTCACCGCCCCTGAGCCTCTGGCCTGTATCCCAGTTCTGTATGCACAAATAAATAAATAAATCTTTAAAAAAAAAAAAAAAAGGTGCACTATGAGTAGAAAGCAAGCATATACAAAACAGTCAAGCACACAGAGCTTAGTGGAGGCAGGTTTGGAATCCTCAAAACTTGGGTCTTTTTGTCTGAATCTGATTTTATCAGCACTGACATATGAAAAAAAATACATATGGTGAAACAAAGCATATAAATGGCCCAGTAGGTAGAACTGTGTCTGCAAGGCCACAGGCAGACAGGCAGGGTCCCTAGCCATAATCAACACAGAGCCAAAAAGTTATTTCTCTAATGACGGTAAATCTCACTTTAATTGCAAAAGCTTTCATTTACAGCATATTCAATAGTGAGTGAACAGGAGAGCTGTGATTTTTGGACATATGAATGTAGAAGTTCCTTGAAGTTCAGGTATTCAAGAAAAGAAACAGGGTAGAGACAGGCACCCCTCCCCATTTTCTTAAGACTGTTTTACATTGTAGAAGATAGCGAATTTCACTTAGAAGCTTAAAGTAGTAGGATGTGCCCTACTAACATATATATTAGTATTTCCACATGATTAAATGAAGAAGGGATGGCAGAACATGCCATTCTGGGGGAATGGGAAACCTGGTGAAAAGGAGCACCAGATCCATGCAGTGCCAGGACGTATGCCCCACCCTTCAACCACAGACATGGGGTGCAAGCCAGTTGGGGCTGTCAACAGTTTCAAGTTAGCCTTGGCCAGCGAAGTCAAAATGTCACTGAAATTAAATGGTCAAGGATCTTTAGGCAAATCTTGTTCTGTTTATAGATAGATGGACTCCTCCTTGCCCAGTTAGAGCAATGACTACAGAATTAACATTCCTGTTCTCAGACAAGCTTCCCTTATACAATGAGATGACTGAAGAAAAAGCAGTATCTAGATTTGACTTTATTTCACACACTCAAAAAAAAAAAAAAAAAAGAGAGAGAGAGAGAAAGGGTAACTAATTCTCACCTCTGGGGCACAGCAGGTACAAAAACAGATTCCTCCAGCTCAAGGTTCATCCACATTATTGGGAGGTTTCAATGCCTACAGAAGGCCAAGGAACCCCATTGCACCTACAGCTACAGAAAGAATTCCACAAATTATCTATCACAGTCCTCCAGCTAAAATGCACTGTATGACTACAGAGGTTTCAACTTAATGTGTAAATTTTACCAGGGTAGCATTTTAGCAACAAATAAGCACAGAGAGCCCATCTCAGGAGTGAAATCAAAGAACTACAGCTCCAACATCTGAAAAGTCAAGTTGCTGTTCTTGGCGCCACCCCAGGGTCTGGCTCAAGCAGACACATAAGGTGGTGGCGGTTCCTTGGCAGCACCGTTCACGGTGGCATCATCATAGGGGGGTAACAGCACCTGGGAGGAAAGAGAGGATGAGGGTCAGTGTTTCAAAGTGCACATATGGCTCCTGAGAGCTTTTTAACTGGACTTCTGTGCAATTAAACATTTTCCACAACCTATACCAATTTCAACTTTGCAGCAAGTAGAGACACTGATGAGAGACTTTGAATCTTTATAGAAGCAAATGAGACGAAGCCTCTGACTCTGAGTTTTTCCAAACCAGTCCAGGTGTGCTGTGCTATCAGCCTGGACTCCAAGCCTGGCTCAGCCTCAGTTGATCAACGTGGCCTCAAGTAAGCTACTCAAACTCTATTTCCCGGTCTATAAAATGGGGGCCTGTAAAATATCGAACACATGAGGAATTCAAAATCTGAGAGGGAAAACTCTATAGCAAAGCCTCAGTTTTCCTCTTGGGGGGCTGGTTATCTGACTTTTGGAATCAGCCTCAGTGGATGCAATTTAGATATGGTATTAAACTGCTGTGATCAGCACTAGAAATGGTAACTTTTACATAAGTCCAGCATTATGTTTCATGAGTTCATTGAGCAATGGGTCGATTCATACCTGTCATGATCTCCTTGGATAAATTAGCCTAAAACATTGAACTACTTAAAAAGGAAGAGACATCTGCCATCATGTCTAACTTATTTTTTTCCCCTGAACAAAACAGAAAACTCAAATCTCCATAGTGTTCGTAGAAAATTAAACACCAAATTTCTTAAAGGAAAAAGAATGTTGCAAATTTGTCTGTTTAAATAAATTTATTTTCCCATTGATTTTGGTAGTTTGTCACTATTATTGTTTATCTTCAAACTTGCTTTAAAGTTTCATTTTACATCAGTATTTTAATATCTTAGACTCTCAGAGTCCATGCCTCTGACCCTTTATCCAAAGTCAACGTGTCTGTAGGCATCTGTCCTTTCATGCAATTTTCTGACTTGTCTTCACTTCTTGTTACCACATTCTACCTGTCGACGGCAAAACAGTCTCAGCAGCCACCTTGTGTTCCTGCCCTACTTTCCAAAGTTCTCCACATGGAATTAGTTTTAAATTCTGGAGGGATAGAGTTATCTTTCTAATTGATGTTAATATTACTGATAATTAAAGGCAGGGGTGAAGTAAGGACTGCCATCTTATTTCTAGAGCAGAACATTAATGGTGACTAAAATCACTCATTTTCCTTTTCAACTAAGATCAATGAAGTATTCACAAATTGAGGAAGTAACTACAGGGCCAACTGAGGGATGATATGCCAATCTAGACACCATAAAACAAAAATGACGAAAATGCTGTTATTTTGACATTTTCACAAGTTGGCATTTAGTTAAACCCAGTCTTTTATTTTCCAATTTAAAAATCTGAATTATTCATAATCAGTAACCAAAAATAATCTCTAAGGACTATGAATATAAGCCAGGTCCTACTTTATTTAAATTCACTGTCTGGTAAACAGCAGCTACCAAGGAGTAGATAAGCTCTACTTTGCTTCAAGCAACATTTATAATCATTCTCGTCTAAGTCCTGCCCTTGGAATTTGTCTGAATAGCATCATAACACCAGGGTGACTGCACGATGGTGTAACTCTCTTCCACACAGATAACACACACACAAAACTCTCTCTTTCCAATGACCCTGGAAGGTGTCTGTTCATTAGGGAGATTAACATTTTATCTAAATATAGTGTCTCCTCAATTGGTAATAGTCATTCTAGGTAACAGCATGCTGGTGGGGAAGCTGTTCTTGGTTTATTTCAATCCCATTCAATAAATATTCAGTGTTACCAGGGGAACTTCATCCTTCTAAGTCACATCAACACATAGAACAATTAGAGGGAGACATAAATTTACATCAAAGGTCACAAAATCGAACACCCTGGTGTAGAATTATTCCAGTTGGGCATAAGCCCATAAGTTATTAAAACTTGGGACATAAAGCCACTCCATCAAATATTACGACATGACAAAACGCTCAAGAGACAAGAACTACTTATTGGTGAAAACGGAAAATGTCTGGATACTACGGACATTTACTGTAATATTAGACTTAAGCCAGTAGTGGCTTATTTGGAATGCTGCTGTTGCTAGGATTAAAGTCCCAAAAGTATTATGTATAAGTTACATAAATTTCTTCAGACATTCACAAAATGACATGCCAAATTTTGTGTCATACATTTATTTTCCTGGGGAGGGTTCAGAACTTTCATCAGATGCTAAAAGAACGACCACTGGGATTCGGAGTTCAGGAACAGAGGGCAGTACAAGGGACAAAGCACTTTGTGCCAGAAGCCTGTGTGTTGGCTCCCATCCTAACAAGGAGATTAGGTAAAAGTGAAATGAAATCAAGGCCCAAACCGATGGCTGTGTGGCATTTTGTCTATCTTGGAGCTGAGGGAGAACACCCCAGGGAAGAAAGAAAGTTGATAGATTATCTTGTAGAGTTTAACATTAGGAAAATAATATGAACTGGTAACTTGACAGCTGAAAAAACAAGGCCATCTTTGCTTCACAAAACCAAAAATTGTGTAAGAAAGGGGATGTATACCATGGAGCTCTAAAATGAACGCTGTTCATATATTTGCACAAAGTCAACACTAACTGATAATGTCACTAAAAATCTGGATGAAGGCAGCAGAACTATGGGGAGAAGGAGAGGAATTAAATCCCATTCAACAAGAAGCCAAAAGAGAAGTCAACAATCAGTCGATTAACATTATGTAAGTCAATACTATGAAAAACAAGTGCAAGATTTGACAGTATTTTCTGCTGGGCAAGAAAGAGAATGTCAGAGGAATACTACAAAATACATCTCCTAATACAGTGATTCTGAGCTGTGTACATGTATTGTTGCGTTCAAAGTAAAACACTCATGGAGGTCTTGAAGGGAAGAGGAAGTCACTGTCAAGGGGCAACACCTGAGGGTGGGGAGCAAGCAAAGACCCCTCATTCCTCCTCAGTTGGCAGGTGAGTTGTAGTCTAGATAGGAGCTTCTGTAGAGGCCTGGAGTAAACAGGTCCAACCTGCCAAAGATGCCACGCTCAGTGCAAGGAAGGGTGTCAGGGATGGACAAGTCCAGTGCAGACACTAATCAAGGGACTCGGAAGCAAGGGGCTGTTTAAAGTTATGGCCTAGAAGGTGAAATCTGTTTTCACAGAGAAGTTGATCAAGACCTGGTTCTTGCCAGCTTAAAAAATTCTCCAGTACTGTAAAAATCTCCACATTAAAATACAATCCAGAGTGACCCCAAACACCAGTGGAAAGCCAAAGAATTATCTGCAATGAGGCATCTCCAAGGGGACAAATGTGCTCAATGCGAAAAGAAGCATCACCCTTAACACCACATCCTTTATGCCACTCAGGCCCAGGCCAGCAGCAGCCCCAAACCTAGTTTTATCCTACATAGTTTATTTCCACACACATTATCTATCTGACTCCCTTTTCTTGTGACTTTTCTCTCCTGGAATGTTTTTCTTTCTTAGGTCACTGCATACAAAGTCCAAACAACCCAAGACTCAATTTAAATTCGCATCAAACATGGAGATCTGAAATATTCCAAACTCAATTTCTCTCTTCTCCTCTTTAATTATACCCTGCAAGCTCAGAGCCATAACAAAGTCCTTAAAATCAAAACATTGCAATGTGTTCATATTCTTTATCGGTAATATAATGTCATAAGAATAACAGTTGATGTTTGGAGGTTCCTCAAACTGCTAAACATGGAGCTTCCATATGACCCAGCAATCCCACTCCTAGGTATCTACCCAAAAGACACAAAAACACTGGCTCAAAAAGATGCCTGCACCCCCCTGTTTATTGCTGCCTTATTTACAACTGGAAAGACATGGAAACAGCCCAAATGTCCAAAAGTGGATGACTGGATTAAAAAGATGTGGTACATATACACAATGGAATATTACTCAGCAACCAAAAAAATAAACACATGCCTTTTGCAGCAACATGGATGGAGCTGGAAAAGATCATGCTTAGTGAAATAAAAAAGAAAAGGAAAAATATCAGATGGTTTTACTCATAGCAGGAATATAACGGACTAGGCGAGAAAATAATAATAATAATGAACAGCTATAGACAGAGACATTTTATGGGGGTGGATTGGGGAATGGGATCAAAAACAATGGGGGGAGGGAAATGCACTGGACTATGGTGATGGCACAGGGTGATTTTGTGATGGGAAGCCCAAGGGGATTACAACTGAGATGGAAAAATGCACAAAATGATATAAAAATAAACTATTAATATTATTTTTTTAATTGGCAAAATTAAAAAAAAAAACAGTCAAAATGGCAGACATTATAGTATGGCCCTCTGAACCCAAATATAAAATCACTGGCCTAAATACTTACCTAACTTATCAATTAAAGGACACGCTACCTTATACTACTATTAACCGACTTGTATACATTTACCTTTCTCTTCTCCAAGAAGTTTCTAAATGGCAAAGTCTTACATATCTGTATCTTTTTTCACTACTGGTTCCCATAAAGTGGTGTTTTCAGCTGGAGTCCTGTCACAAAATAGCTGTGTCCTTAAATACCAGAGGCAATCTAGTGGCAGAGAGCCAAACATGGGCTTCAAAAATAGACCAAGGCTCAAATTTCAGCTCTAACATATATGAATCCTGAAGTCCTAACTTACTAAATCTACCTGGCCTTCAGTTTCCATGTCTATAAAATCTATAGAACAGGAAAGCAATGGTAAGGATGTAAGTGAGGCAATGTGGCCTGCTGAGGTTGGCCGTGGTGCCAGGTACTGGGGAGGCAGAAGTGAAGGTAAGTGGCTGTAATCTAGAGCAGGATGCCCGGTGTTGACCAGGCAGGGTTCATAACAGGTGCGTGGGAAAGTGCATGTTACACAAGACCAAGGCACACAGTAAAGGTGTAGGTGGCATGCTATAGTTAGAAGACCAGGTGTGTGAGGTGGGATTATGAGACATGACTCTGGAACAACAGGCAAGATCCCAATTGACCTTGGAAGCAATGGCAGGAAGATGGACCTTCTTCT